CGCCGACTGAGTCTCTGGCTTTATTTATACCACCTTTTCTTCACGACTCGACTTCATCAGAGTTGACGGCTGGGCCAGGAGGCAGCCTTCCCTGGTGGCGAGGAGGATGACAACCAGGGCTCCTGCCCTGACGGGCTCCTTGCATCCTCGGACCAGCCATTTCCACAGGCGCTTGGATCCTGAGCACCCACCAAGGGGAGGGGGGCCGCGATTTGGAAACCTGCACGGAAGAGCCAGCCAGGCGGCCCCTCGGAAGGATTAGGAGAGAGAAGGCTTTGAGACGAGCCAGGGGGAGCTGTGATTGGGCCCTTGGCTTTGGACCTCCTGCTCCGAATCGCATTCCCCGGTCTGGAAAGCGAGGCTGCCTTTCCGATTGGGGGGTAAGGAAAGGCTCCCCAACTCAGGCGTCTTCTTGGGTGTGAGCAGAGGGACCTTCTCGGACCACATTCTTGAATGCTCCCACTCAGGATGTCTGGAAAAGCCTGTGGAGACAGACTAAGGCACGGAGACGATGGGAGAAGGCTTTTCTCCCCAGGGTCACGGAGCTAGGAGCCGAAGGTTCAAGTTGGACACGGAGGAAGTCCAGCTTCCCCTGCAGAGGGATGCCGAGCCAGCAAATGTGGGTGGGGTCCAGGAGCCGCTGACCCTCCTGGGTGATGTGAGGGGCTTAGGTGGCAGGAGCCAGGGGTCTGGGGCCCAGAGAGGGCAGCCCCGGGGGGTTTAGAGAGCACCTTCTGCCCGGAATAGCAGCCTCTGGTGCAGGTCGTCCTTTACACCTGCAGCATGAAAGCGCTGCTCTCCGTGTCCCCACGGGCCTGTTCCTGGCAGACGCCCCATCGCCTGGCAAGATGGGAAGTGATGTCACGCTGCGTACAGGAGCCTGCTCTTCGGGGGCTGGTCGTGGTTGTGAGACAGTTCAGAGACTGGTGTCTCTCACGGTCCTGGACCCTGGACTTCCGCAAGAAGAGCCCTGGGGCTGGCAGCCACCACCGTCTTCAGTGTCCCCACCTCTGGAGGCTGCCCCAGGAGCCTGCACTGCGCTGGGAGGAGGATGCAGGTGGGAGAAGGGGAGGCGGAGGAGGTGGCAGGGCTCAGGGGCTCCAGAGCCTGCTCTATGCTGATGCCCTCAGTTTGGGGGGAACTCTCCAGGCCCACGGCTGCCCCAGCACTGACACCAGGAGCCCTGCTCAGCCTGGGACAGGCACTGCGGCTGCCAGTCTTCCTGCCAAGGACACGGGGACAGGCGGTTCTCCAGGGGACTGCCTGAACCCTCCAGGCAGAGCCAACTGGCCAGCCGCGTCCCTGCGGCTCCCCCAGGGTCTAGGTCTGAGGAAAGGGCATGAGAACGAATGGAGGGCCTGGGTTTCCACTGGAAAGGGGATGCCGGTGGTGTCCACCTGGCAAGGCGGCAACCCCAGAATCCCGAAGGCGGGGAGTACCAGGGAGGCAGGTGGCGGACGGCAGGAAAAGGCTCCACGGTGCTGCTGGGATCCTGGGGCTAAAGGGCCGGACCCTGACCCCACGGTTGTCTTTTGCTTTCCATCCAATGCAGAGTCAGCAGTCTCTCTGCCGTTCTCATTGCAAATCTGATTAAGGATCAAAACCTGTCTTTCCTTTTGTACAAGTAAACTTTAACCTCGCAAATGGAAGATACTTAGAAATCATCTGGTCCAAGCCCCGGGCTCAGAGATGAGGACGGGGAGCCCCAGAGATCACTCGACTTGCCCAAGGACACAGGAGGCTCAGGGCAGACCTGGGAGTCCCTGGGACACACTTGGACCTGGCATGTGGGACAAGGATGAAATCATCAGCACTGGACCCACCCCAACTCTGGTGAAATAGGACAAGGTAAGGAAAGTGGGGACCGGGAGCTCAGCTCAAGATCTGAGCTCTTGAGGACCATGGGCAAAACTTACTGGCCATCAGGTAGTTCTGCCCTGGGACCTGGATGCTGCCTTTGAGCAAGTTTTGTAGCCCCTGTGGTTTACAATTCTCATGGGGTGAAGTGCCGGGGAGGGGTGGGGTGGGAGCTGGGGAAACATGGGGCTTCTTTATAGTTGCTTCTCTTTTTCTTTTGCGGGTAATCGGGCCTCTTGAGTCCAGTGGCTGTTATCAGAGCTGTAACTCAGGCTTCCTCCAGCAGAGGGAGCCCGAGGACGCGGGAAGGAAGCCCAGCCACTCGCGGCTCACTGCGGGGCGGGAGGGTTGCGGAATGGGGTTTTTGGTTTTATTTCGTTCCACGCGGTCAGGCAAAAGAATCGTTCAGGATTCTGTTTCAGTTAATAAAAGAAGGGAGGGCTGGCCATCCTCGAGTAAGTGGCAAAGGACAGATGGGACTGCCCACCAGCAACGCTAAACTGAGCATCCTGGTCCTCTTGCAAGATCTTCAGGCCACCCTTGGGTTTCAGGTCAGGACTTACGCCCACCCTTGCTTGGGGAAGTTACAGAAGGGCCGCAGCAAACCCAGACAGGGGTCCGCATGGATCATCCACTGGGTTTGCTCGTTCTCATCCCATCAGGCCCTTCCTGATGACCCGCCTTTCTGTCACTTGGTTGGGGGCTTCTATTCAGAGTCTCAGCTCACTTTTATGTCCTCCCCGAAGTTCCACTTGTTTAGTGCTGATGTGGTGTTGTGAGTAGGACCAATCTGAATACCCTTGAAACTAAAATGCTGTGCACTAATGACCTTCAGCTGCTTGGAGGTGAATTAGTGCAGTTATGTAGAAGACAGCCCGTTTTCCTATGTCGTGAGATTACCTCTCTTCTCTGGGACGGAGTAGATTGTACAGATTGCACGTTATCATACTTACGTGGTAGCTTCTTCGTTCTCCAGCTGAGGGCAGGTCTAAGACTGTTGTGCGTGTTTATGTGCGCACGGCACGTGCTTATGGAGAGAATGGGCCACAGAGCGGGGGAGCTGCGGGCCCCTTGTTAAGATGTCGGTGGTGTTTGCGTCAACATGACAGAGATGGGGACAATTGGCCAAGCAATTTGACTAGGGCTGTCTCAAATGGCACCAAGAGGCAATGCATAGCTTTGTGACTCTGACGGTGTACAATTATCGCGGTGCTCCCCCTTATCCGCGACTTTGCTCTCCGAGGTCTCCCACCGTCAACCGCGGTCCCCCACCGTCAACCGCGGTCCCCAAGCAAAAGATCCTCCTTCTAAGGTATCGTCAGAGGGTCAATAGTAGCCTAAGGCTACGCACCACGCCTCATCATCCACCTCCCTTCATCTGGTCACGTAGGCATTTTACCGTCTCACACTGTCCCAAGAAGGATGAGTACAGTACAATAAGATAGACAGAGAGAGAGAGAGAGACCACATTCACATACATAATTGTTCTACTTGATTATTAGTTATTACTGTGCCTAATTTATAAATTAAACATTAACACAGGTGCACATGCATAGAGTATATAGGTTTATCCAAGGTTTCAGGCACCCACTGGGGGTCTTGGAACGTATCGCCTGCAGATAAGGGAGGACTACTGTGTATCTCCCAAGGAATTCTTGATCATACTTCCTTGATAATATGACTCAGCCCAACAAGTATTTATCAGGCATCCACAGACGTAAGAACTGGGGCTATGAATAGGTCCAAATAGAATAAGATATAGTCCCTGCCTTTAAGAATCAATAGCAATTTCACTGTATGACAATATGGTGGCAAAGCACCAAGGGATGGAGTCACTTTTCAGCGATAGAGTTGACAGCTCTGTTTCTGCCTTCTCCTCCCCGAACCAAGTCCTGGTCAGGAATGGACACTTGGACATTATGCCAGCGTGATAGATCACTTGAGTTCAGAAACACGGCTAGTGGACCCATCCAATCCTAGGGCTCAGATTCCAGTGCCTGGGTCAATGCCCATGGCTTGCTTTCTCGGGGTATCTTGCTCTGGGGTTTATCTGCTCTGGGTGGGACATCTGGCCTGGGCTCCATGTTCAAAAGAACCTTCAGATTTTTTTTTAAATTTTATTTATTTATTTGAGAGAGAGAGAGAGAGCACGAGCAGGGGAGAGACAGGCAGAGGGAGAAACAGACTCTCTGCTGAGCAGGGAGCCGGAAGCGGGCCTCCATCCAGGACCCTGGGATCATGACCTGAGCCAAAGGCAGACTCTCAACCGACTGAGCCACCCAGGCGCCCCCTTCAGACTTTTTGTATCAGTTCTGGTAAATAGTTCTCTTGTATTGGGGGGAGGGGTGTTAAAAGCATTCTGTTTAAAATATTAAATGTTTGAAATATAAATTTTTTAACCCTATTTTGACATTTCTTCCTTTTGCAACCTCCCAGGTCCCCTACAACATGGACGTGACCTGGGTGTCTCGTGTCCCCTGAAAGGGCGGGCCCCACACGCAAGGCATTGCCGCTCTGTGGTCTAAAGGTCACCTTGCCCCGCAGCCCACATATTGCAAATAGTCCTTTCAAGGTCTCAGAGATATCAGGCTTCCTTCTGTGTCATAAATGTGCTTATTTCACAATAGGGAGTAGACAAGGCTCCAGTGTTTTTGTTTGTTTGTTTGTTTTTTCTTTAAAGTACTAATTTGGTTTTTCTTCTAAACAGGAGGGGTCAGATCAGGCTGGCTCATGATGAAATTGTGAAAAGGGCCAAACTTGCCTTTGATTCCCCCCCCCCACTGCCTTCACCCCACTAGCCTACCCCAAAGGGACCCAGGTCACCATGGAGCCTCTACTTGGTGCCGCTGCTCAGCCTCGCAGCCTGAGCTCCATGCTTGTGTTAGGTCTGACCCATCTCTCTCTCTCTCTCTCTAACCTTAGAAGTTTGCAAATTCTGTTGGGGACACCAGTGCACGTAGGTCTCTGGAAGGCACACACACTCTCAGACATTTCCTGGGGACTGCAGTGCCTTAACTCAAGGGAAAAGTTCCTCCTGGCCAAAGCACCCTTGGGAGAGAAGGTTGGCGAAGGACACTTGAGCAGACCTGCCAGGTACCCACAGGCTGCCGTTGGTTTGGTGTTCATAACTTCTTTGCTTCTCCAGGTCCCTGAAGGCCAACTGCTCTCCCAAGGCATTCCTTCCAGGCAAATGGAGAGACACAGCTCCAGTAAAGAAGTCCGGTGAGTGCCTTTATCTCTTCCAGCCAGAAGTCCAGATGCTTGCCACACACAGTCTTCTGAGGGCTGTGCTAAGCATTCTGCCTATTTATAGAAAGCCATGGGTGATGCTAACCCACAGCTAACTACGATGGTGGAGGCCATGACTGCAAACACATAAACTTGGCAGGATCTGTCAAAGGACTGAGGATGGGTGTTGGTGTGGCTGAGTCGAGAAAAGGGGGTTCCATTAACGTGTCGTTCATGGGAGTCATCCCCATGGTCCTCATGTGGGAAATACTTATATATCCTGGGATGTGGGTGACTTTCTCTCTGGCTTTCTGTTGAGCTGTTATCCTTTAGAGTAGACTTACCTTCGGTGGGCAGCCCATTCCACCAATGACCGCGTCTTTTTACCGGCTGCCTTGTTTGACCAGGGCCCAGCCTATGCTCGGCAATTCCCACTCTGCCTTGTCAAGCCCAGGTGTGGGATTCTCTCACCCTGCCCTTCAGTGGGCTGGGATGACTCTTTCTCCTATAGAACAATCCACATTTCTCACTGGCATGCGGTCACTCTTCTTTTTTTTTTTTTCCTTTTTGATTAATCAGTAGAATAATGTAGATGTTATCTGCATCAGAAATAAAGTGCTAGGTCACTCTTTTCTGAATTAGGAGAGAATTGCCACTTTGTCCCTCCACGGCCCTTTGGCTGTAAGAGATGAGTGTTGTAACCACGGCCCGGGGTGCTCCTTAGTACTGTCACCTCTGAGGTCTCGCTGGGGGACCAGGATGGACACGGGCTAACTGGTTACAGCCTCTGGTTCTCATTAGTGATGATGAAGATGGTGGCGGTGTTGGCTGCAGGGCTCTGGTCCGGTTCCTCTGGCCTCCCGGACGGGGGAGAGGACTTCTTTGTTCCAAGATCAGCGAGGAGGCAGGTACGACTGGAACAGAGTAAGCAAGCGAGAGAGCAGTAAGACATGAGGTTGGGAGTCAGCTGGGGCCAGGTTCATTTGAACTTAGGCCACAGAAGGGACTTTGACTTTGACTCTGAGCAAGGTGGGGAGCCACTTTTGAGCAGAGGAGAGATGTGACTAGATTTCATTCTAAATAGGTCACTCCTGGATGCTGTGCTGAAGACGGGCTTCGGGGAGGGAGGGCCCAGTAAAGCCGGGTAGGAGGCTGCGACCGTCAGCCGGGCAAGAGCATGACGGTGGCTTGGACAGGGTGGGAGCGATGACTGTGATGAGAAAAGCAGAGAAGGGTCCGGATTCTGGCTGTAGTTTGAACGTGGAACCAGCAGGCATTGCTGATGGACTAGATGCTGGGGGAAGAGAGAGAGGGGGGGTCAAAGATGGACCTCAAGGATTTTTGCCAGAGCGCTGGAAACATGGGGTTCCCCGCTGGAAGCATGGGGTTCCCGCGCATGGAGAAGGGGGGGAGACTTCGGAGAAGCAGCCAAGGGAGGCCAGGTGTGGGTCAGGACTTCAGCTGGGGATGTGTCCCATTTTCAGAGTCCTGTGAGATATCCACGAGACTTTGAATTGGCTACTGGCTATCAGAGCCTGGAGGTTGGCAGAAAGGTCATGGCTGCAGATAATAGTTTGCGAGTCAGCAGCGTACAGATGAGAGTGATAAGCCATGAGGCTGGATGAGATCACCCAGGGAGGGAGTGTAAGTGGACTGAGTCCTGGGGTCCCCCAACAGAAAGAGGGTGGGGGCTAGCAGAAGAAACTGAAGAGTGGTCAGCGAAGGAGGTGAGGACCAAGAGAGTGGCATCCAAAAATCCAAACGGAAAGGAAGAAAGAGTTTCCAGGATCAGGGAGGGATGAGCTGTGTCAGATGATGCTGATCAGTCAAACAAAATGGGGCAAACTTGGGAGGAGCCAAGGGGTTTAGCAACACAGAGGTCATCGGTGACCTTGACCAGGTATGAGTAGAAAAAAAACAAGCTTCAGAGCTGCCTCCCTAGACGCAGTTGGCAAGAAAGAGGATCTGTCAGACGCAGGCTCATGGCAGCCTTCAGGTTCTGAGGACGCCACGGGCTCAGGGGAAGCCGGTTCCTTCTGCCCTTGGTCTCAGTAGGGACAGTCGCAGCTGCAGAGCCCGAGAGCTTGTCCTCTTGTCTCCAGTGACTGCAGAGAGACAGCCTCCAGCCCGTTAGCGCGTGGGGCCGACCACCTCTACTTCTGGTCCTACTGGGAGCTGCCGGGCACACAGCACCGGGCTGCTCAGCACAAGGGACCCATCAGACCTTGCAAAATATTCTGCCCAAACTCAGTCACCCTGCTACCTTTTAAACACCGTCCCTGTCCTCATAGTCACACAGCTGCGTTATAATCAGAACACACTGCCTGCCTTGATATGGAAAGGCCATCCGCCTTCAACTAATTTAAAGGACTAAAATTTAGTGACCAAAGAAAAGCGACCTTACCATGTTGTATTTGGGGATCCCAGGCCCCAAACGTGGATTGTCACGGAGACTCCTTCTAATACCTATTATGCTTCGTGTAACGAACAGTGTCTTAGAGGAAGCACAGGGAGAGAAAGCCATGTGCTCGGGCTCTTTCACCGGAGGCCCCTCAGCGTAAGCCAGCGACAGCAAGCCAACCCATTGCCCAGTCCAGCTGTGCCATTTCCTGATGCTCTGGCTTTCTGCAGGATGGGCTCGAGAACTGCGTCATCCAAGACGGCGGCCGCTAGCCCCGTGCTTCCACAACGAGGAACTGAACGTTACCTTTTATTTAATTAATTCCGGTGGTCACATGAGGCTCGTGGCTACTGCAGTGGATCGCAGAGACGTGGGACTTTCCCACCATCACAGACCGTTCTATTGGACAGCACCACAGTACTTTTCTTAACTTTTTAAATTGGATGGGTGGAAGGGCTGGGGGGGAGGCAGCCGAGGGCTTCTGAAATTGTAGGTAAAATTTTGTGCGAGGTGAGTTGTTGGTATTTTTCCTTGGAAAGAGTTCATAGCTTTCATCAGATTCTCAAAGGATTATGTAACCCCCAAAAGGTTAAGAACCATCAATCTGGAGCCATAGGTAGTATGTACATAATAATAATAATATACATATTATCTTTATTTTATTTACAGACTTTATTTATTTATTTATTTATTTATTTATTTATTTATTGAGAGAGAGCACATAAGCAAGGGGAGGGGCAGAGGGAGAAGCAGACTCCCCACTGAGCAGGGAGCCTGATGCGGGACTCGATCCCGGGACCCTGGGATCATGACCTGAGCCGAAGGCAGACGCTTATCCGATGGAGCCACCCAGGCGCCCCTTTTATTTTTTTTTAAGTAGGCTCCACACCCAACGTGGGGCTCAAACTCATGATCCCGAGATCAAGAGTCACATGCTCTATCGACTGAGCCAGCCGGGTACACCTTATGTAATATATATTATTATATATGCTGTGGGGTGGCAGCTGGTTTATTTAACCAGAGAAATTGCCCTTTCAGTGTTGTGGTGCTGTTCATGTTTCTGACAGTGGAGTCATGAAGCCATCTTGGAGTGGTCTTGAACTGGGAGGAACCAGTCAAGGGTCCCTTTGACACTCACTGGCTTCAGGGAACAGGGTAAGACCAGAAACGTCTGGTTGAGGAAGGGCTGTAGCCAGGGAGATGTGTGCGGCTCCCCGCAGTGGAGGTGAGTGAAGATGGTTGGAAAGGTGCCTGGAAGCTTGCAGTGGGCCAGTAAGCCTTGGGGAAGGAGAGGGTGGAATCTAGACCTTTCCACTGTTTGGGATGGACCAGGATGGCCCTGATGAGGTCAGTCGACAGGGAGGAACACACCTCAAAAGTGTGTGGGGAACGAGTCATCTGAAGCCCACCTCAGCTGCTAGGAAGTCCTAGAGAAGCGGGTAGACTCTGCACCCCGATATCCAGGAGGTTATGGTAGCACATACAGGGGGTTGCGGAGGACTCTGGAGCCAGACCACCTGGACTCACATCCCAAACTAGCAGCATGACCTTGGGGAGCTTTCTAACCTCCCCGTGCCTCGGTTTCTTCATCTGTAAGACGGGAATAATAAAAGTCTAGTGTTTTTATGAGGATTAAACAAGGTCATTTCTGTAAAGCACTTGGGCCCGAGCCTGGCCAAGGGAGACCCCCAGTGTAAGTCTTTGTTAAGTAATCCATTGTGTGGATTGGCAAGACTTTGTGTCTCCAAAGAGCTAGACATTGAGGGCGGTGGGTCAGCCCTGTCTAAGACATGGGGCATCCTCCTCCATCACCTCACCCAACTGCGCCTGAGGAAACCAGCAGCCCTCCACCTGACTGTCCCGGATCTATTCTGGAGGGATGATGGGGGCAGTCGTAGGACTGGCAGCCTTGGGGTTAGCTGCTGCTCCCAGGGTTCTTTGCGGGGGGAGAGTGGGGGAGGATCCTTAGGACAGAGACTGGCCCTATTTTCCTCTTTGAGTTGGAGAAATGGGAGGTACCAGTTATGTATATTTATGAAAGCTGCAGACAGAGCAAACAGATCTTGGCAAGTCTCACTTCTCTGGACTCAGAGTTGGGGAGTTTTCTTTTTTTTTTTTAATATAAGATTTTATTTATTTATTTATTTGAGAGAGAGAGAGAGCACAAGAGGGGGGAGCGGGAGAGGGAGAAGCAGACTCCCTGCTGAGCAGGGAGCCCGATGCGGGACTCGATCCCAGGACTCCAGGATCATGACCTGAGCCGAAGGCAGTTGCTTAACCAACTGAGCCACCCAGGCGCCCTCAGAGTTGGGGAGTTTTCACTCACTCAAATAAAAATGGAGAGGATTCCCCCCCCCCGCCCCCCCCCCCCACTGTCCCTGCAGCCTTTGTTAGACAGTGCCCCTGTGTTCTGAGGCTAAGTCTGCCTTTGGGGTTCAGCAAACATCCAAATCCCAGGTCTGTCACTTTTTTTTTAAGATTTTATTTATTTATTTATTTACTGAGAGCGGGGTAAGAGCAGAGGGAGAGGGAGAGAGAGAATCTCAAGCAGACTCCCCACTGAGTGCAAGAGCCTGATGTGGGGCTCAATCTCACAACTCTAAGATCAAGACCTGAGCCGAAATCAAGAGTCAGATGGACGCTTAACCAACTGAGCCACCCAGGCGCCCCAGGTCTGTCACTTTTAAGCTGTATGACCTTAAACAAGGATGTGGGACAGAAGCTTCTCTGAGACTCAATATATCACCTGCTAAATGGGCATAATATTAAGGATCTCATAGAGCTGCTGGGGGTCAAGTGAGACCAAGTCTATAAAACACATAGCAGTGTATAACATATATAATAAGGACCTGATAAACAGTAGTAAATAACGTATGTATGTAAGCATATGTATTAAATATCTACGGATCGATCAATGAATCCATAGATAGAGATCTCCTAAGAATAAGCTGACCTCTCTCTGTCTTCAATTAGGAAAAAGGTTGATTTGATGCATAAGCCAAAGGCTGACTTTAGGAACTGGAAAATAAACAGAACTTAAAACTATGTTTAGTTGAAATGCCCCGTCAGCACAGCAATGAGTAAACATTTCAAAGTAATTCTCCCCTTTGTACAGCATTTTAACTTCTTACATTTATTTGCTATTTTTAATCCGGTGGCGATTTCTTCACCAACCCAACCAGTCAACTTGGGCTTCCTTTTTCAGAGACGGGGCCTGGAAAATTGTGCGTGTCGACCCACACAGGACTCTGTAGTGCTAGGTGGGCTCCCCGGGGCACCCCCACAGGCCACACAGGCACACGCAGACCGCTCCACCGTTATTCTCCCAAGCGACTCTCTGATGTCAGGGCTGCAGTGGGGAAGGCCCCTCCCCCACCGGAACCCCTTCTTCTGCAGGGTCCAGTCTGGGGCCCTGTGTCTTTGTCATCCTGTCTTCGAGGGCAGAACGGACAGGCTGCCCCAGGTTCCTGGCCACTTGGCCCGAGACGGTCACAGCCAGGGCCCTGGCGTAGCCTAGTGTTACCCACAACCTGGATTAGATCTTCTAAGTTGGGGAGTTAGCAGTTAGTGAATATCAGCAGTGCCAGGACTTTCAAATGACTGGCAGGGTTCCTGCCGCGTCTTTCTAGCCAGTAAGGAAGAATGGTGGCTCCTTTTTTCTTTTTCTACTGAGATATAACTGACTTGCCATAAATTTTACTGCTTATAAGGGTACCGTTCGTAGGTTTTAGTGTATTCCTAAAACTGTGCACCCATCACCATGATCTAACCCCAGGACATTGTTATCCTTCTTTTTTTTTTCTACTCACAGTTTTGGACAAGATCGATCCATAGGTGGACCGGAGAGCGGCACTCCTTGGGCATCTGTGGTTACATTTCAGGCCTGAAGGCCTCTGGGCACACTGTTTCACAACCATGTCTGGGGATGCAAACTCGGCGCAGTCGGGCGGGCTTACCTCAAAGCTTGTCCACGCTACTTCCGTAGCCCCCCTCTCCGGAAGTTAGGGGTATGTGTATGGTTGGGTGCTGGGTGGGTCCTAGGGGAAATACAGATGGACTCGGCGTCCTCGAGCCTGGTGGAACTGGGGACATGGTGAGATAGACTTTGGCATATACTTTGTAAAACAGTCCTCACTTACACAAAAAAAAGCTTAACGGAAAGAAAAAAAAAAGGCCTGGATATAGTTTGGCCTCTCTGGATGAAAAAGTGGGTAAGAATCCAATTCTTTTTTTTTTTTTTAAAGATTTTATTTATTTATTTGAGAGAGAGAGAATGAGAGAGAGCACATGAGAGGGGGGAGGGTCAGAGGGAGAAGCAGACTCCCCGCCAAGCAGGGAGCCCGATGCGGGACTCGATCCAGGGACTCCAGGATCATGACCTGAGCCGAAGGCAGTCGCTTAACCAACTGAGCCACCCAGGCGCCCAAGAATCCAATTCTTTAGTTGCCAGAACCTGGTGTCTCCAAAAGGAATTCATTCGACTGTTGGCTGCCCGGGTCAAGGCCTTTCAGTGGCTCTTCAAGGAAAGCAAGAAGAGAAAGGGCTGCTGAGGGCAGAGGCTCTCCAACAGGGTGCTCCCGGGTGTCTATATGCATAGAGCGGAGAGCTAATGCATCCTCAGGGCCTGGCACTCCCCAGAGGTTCCTTAGATGAGCTAGGGATGCCCCAAAGTGCAGCCTTTTGCAGGCATTCTTTCTAGTGCTGTGCATCCAATTGCCTGGAGGAGCAGAGGTTCCACAGGATTTTCTGAATCCTTACCGTGGACCTGATGCTGTCTGTGCACACAAGGACACCAAGGCTTGGAGAGGCTAAGCCATTTGCAAAATTGAGGCAAAAATGGCAAGCGCTTCAGGAGTGAGGCTGGGGGTCTCAAAGGCATGCATGGGGTCCTAGTTCTGGCCCATTCTCCTCCTCGTGATGGTGCCCAAAGTTTACCTTTGTGGTCCCCGATGTCCTCACCTGGAAACGGGGGCAGTACTGGTTTCAATCTCACAGGACTGTCTGAAGACTGAACAAGACTGCCTGCGGAAGGGCTCACAGTGATGCCCGGCACACTGAGAGCGCTCAAGGCTGATTATGATTGCTCAAGGCCATCAGCAAATCCGGAGTAGAACCCCCTTTTCCTTTCCATCTCCATGCGCGGCCTCCAGAACCACTGGCCTCATTTGAATCTTCCTGAGACTCTGAGGATCTGGGAAGGCCATCTTCACCCCATCTGCCCCATGATGATGGCCATCCTGGGGTGAGGGTGGGTGGGGAACTGTCCCCTCCCCTGCACTGCTGGTGTGGGGAAGGTCGGCCTGATCTTCCTCCTGCACCATCCTCCTGCACCTGGGCATTCTCACCTGCTGGCTGGCTCTTTCCTTTTCTAGGACTGTTCTGGAAAAGTCTGGGAGACATTGGGCTCCACACAGACTAATCTCTGCGAGCCTCAGGATCCTCATCCATCAAATGGAGCAGCTCACACCTGGCCTCCACTTGCTCCCTCCAGCGTGCCCAGATGTGATTACCCACCTGGGCAGCAGCCGCTTCCCAGTTGTCCCCACAAGGGCCATTTTCTCCCCAGTACAAGACGAATGAGCTTCTGCTGTCGCGTCAGGGAGCCGCTGCATCACCGAAAGGACCTTCGCCCTTCAGTTTCGTCCGCGTGGAAGAGACCGGTGCCTGCTAGGTGGTCACGGGAGCATCGCGCGGAGTCCTGCGAGTGCTGTGAGTGTGGGTCTGCGAGGACGGTTGGCTCCTCACGAAGAGACCTCTGTCCTGCAACAACCCCCAGGGCAGAAACACTTGCAGAGGGAGCCCCCGGGCAGCTTGTCCCCCAAAGGTCCCGAGATCCCGACCAGGTCGGACTGAGTGGGATCTAAGATGGTCGGGAGCGGGGCGGTGGCTGGGGATCCCCTTCCCCACAGCCGAGAGAGGAAGGTCACTGGAGCCGCCCCTGCACTTGCGTTCCGACCAACCGCGAGGGCGTCCCAGTCCAGGCTCAGGGCAGCGTGGAAACAGCGAGAAATGGGAGGCGCGCACCTTGCGGGCGGCCCGGCTCCTCCCCGCAACTCCGTGCTCCCGACGCACGTCCGTGCTTTCGTCCCACGGACCCTGGAAGGCGGGTGCGGGAAGCCTGCGCCCGGCCCCTCGGCCGAGCGGAGCCCTG